GATCAGGACCACTCTAGGCAGCTAACAACTTCCATTAGACTGGCAAGCACTACAACAGGGCCATCAGTAGCAGTCCCATATTTCTGCAGCCGTTTCTTGCTATCCTAAATGAAGTACAAATGATCTAATCTTTGTTACTTTTTAGACAGATCTTAAAAGCTCGCCTGTTTATATTTGCACTCTGTTAAAAAGATTTATAAGTTAGGTTTTAAATTGTTTGATTCATTGCCCCTTAAGTTATTGATTTTTTTTAAAAAAAGTCTGATGTTAGTTTCTGTTGCAGGATGTTTTAATAATTATCTAGTTGATGATGCCGTATGTAGTGCTGTTCCCACAAAACCCTTTTTCTCCATTGTATGGGAACAGTATGGGAGATTTTCCAGAGTCCCTTCTACAGTATATGGAATAGCTTTAAAAATTTTTTTCACATGCATTGTTTCTTCTTTGCCAGCTTTGTTGGTCATTTTAAGTCTCGACGAGAGCGTGAAGCAGAATATGGAGCCAAGGCTCTGGAATTCACTAATGTTTACATCAAGAACTTTGGAGATGACATGAATGATGAGAGACTGAAGGAAATTTTCTCAAAATTTGGTAAGTACAATATTTTAAATGCACAGTGTAAAGTCATCGTCTGCAGAGAGTTGAAGGCCAAGGCTCCTTGAGTGAGAAAAAGCAGAGTGAACATTGTTGCCTAGTTTTTCCCCCTCACGCTTTGTATTTTACTCTAGTAATCAGTTGAAAAAACAAGGGAAATTATGAAATAAATAAAAACTTTCTTTGAGTAGGTAAAAAAGAGTCTTGTTGCTTACCATGAATTATAAGTGTTGCAATTGAGTGCCTTATTGAATAATATATTTTAGCATGTGAGCCCAGGTTGTTTCCCATTTCTAACTGAAACAACAGTTTAGAGTAGCCAGCCTGATAAATTGCACTTGCTCTATTATTTGTTGTTGATCCATCAAGTTACCTCCAACTTATGGAGACCCCATGAATGAGATTTCCAACATATCCTGTGTTCAACTGCCCTGTTTAGCTTTTGTAAAGTCAAGCCTGTGGATTCCATTAGGAAGCCAATCCATCTCATATTTGGTCTTCCTCTTTTCCTCAGCCTTCAGTCTTTCCCATCATTATTGTCTTTTCCAGATAATCTTGTTTTCTCATGATGTGCCCAAATAGGACAAGCAGCAGTTTCATCATGTTTGCCTCCAGAGATAGTTCAGGCTTGATTTGATCTAAGACCCACTTGCTCATCTTTCTGACAGTTTAGGGTATCCACAAAGCTCTCCTTCCGCACCCTATTTCAAACAAATTAATTTTTTTCCTGTCAACTTTCTTTACTGTCTAGCATTCACACAACCTACATGGTGCATGGAAATACAATTAATTTTTTTCCTGTCAACTTTCTTTATTGTCTAGCATTCACACAACCTACATGGTAGATGGAAATATAAGAGCCAGGATGATCTTGGTCTTCACCTCCAGTGTACATGTTCTGCTTAAATTAATTTGTTTTAAGCAGCATGTCTGCTAGAAAAATTACTGTATGTAGAAGCAGAGATTCATCCCAAGCAAGGAAAGGTGATCATGTTGTGTGAGGCTTCTAGGGTGTCAGGCAGAAAACCTGGATGTATTCTTTTTAATTTTTTATTCTGAAATCAGGATTATTTTCACTACTTAGAATAAAAAGAGAACATTCTGCTTGTAAGAAAACAACAAAAAAACCCTTCAATTTAGAATACACTTACACAGGTCAAAGGGTATATATCATGAGAGTCCTTCCTGCCTGTTCCTTCATTCTCCTTGCTCTGAGATGAGCTCTGTATAACTTGTGGCCTTGCTTGGGAAAATTTCTGGAGTTTTTGAGCTATCCTTAAGTTCTTCTGTTTCCAGGAAACACACTGAGTGTCAAAGTCATGGTGGATAATACAGGCCGTCCGAAAGGTTTTGGGTTTGTCAACTTTGAGAAACATGAAGAAGCTCAAAAGGCAAGATAATCTTTATTATCTTTATCTTACCTAATTATCTGCCTGTTCTTCCTCTTCCATACATGACAGTGGTTTAAACATGAGCAGAGAGTTGGATTTGGAGTGAGTGTGTCCATAAGTGGTAGATGATTTATTTGTTTTTGCACCATTAGCTTTCCATAGACTGAACAAATATGTCATTTATTTATTTATGTATTCATTCATTCATTCAGCTTTTGCCCCACCCATCTAGATTCAGTCTAACCTACTCTGCTCAGCTTACAGTCCGAGCAATATAAAGCAAGAATTAAAACAGATAATATCTAAACAAAAAAGAAAAGTAAGCAAAGTCCAAGATGGGAAAACATAGGAAACTAAGTGATGGAAGGGGGGAAAGCAAAAACAAAGTCTTCTGCTTGTGATGATGCTCTTACACTTGTTACTAGTGTGTCACGCCTTGGATGCAAACAAAATTTCTTTTGGGGTTGGCAGAATTTCATTCTGAAAATGTAGAGTGGAAAAAAATCCTGCTCAAAAGAGTGTAAACCTACTGATAGGTATTCACTGATGGAAAGCACAAACCTGTGAGCCCTGTATGCATATATTGCCTTGAGTTTCTCCTCGGCAGGCTGAAGGAAGCAGAAAGCAAGTGGGTTCATATTGCAGCCGATACAGCTTCATATTGCAACCAATTCAACTTTGATTCATGTATTTTTCCCCTTTCCTCTTTCCTTGCCTCACATACGTCAATCCTACATGACATAGTCTTAACCAATGGGTCAACAAAACCCGCTGCACCAAAATTTCTATATAGGAGACAGTCCCAAAAGCTTTAAAATTAGTACAAGGCATTTTTCTATGAGAGAGGAATGTGGCCTCTTGAGGAGGAGAATTGATGCTATAACTTCCTCCCTCCCTGGTTCCTCTGTACCTTGTCTCTTGACAGGCTGTTGATGACATGAATGGGAAGGAGATCAATGGCCGAATGTTATATGTTGGCAGAGCTCAGAAGAGGATGGAACGTCAGAGTGAGCTGAAACGTAAATTTGAGCAAATCAAACAGGAAAGAGTAAGCAGATACCAGGTAACATGACATGAAGGTACAATGGCTGCTGGGTAAAAGGAGGGGCACAAACAGCCTATGGATTTAAGATTCCCAGATGAGCTGGTAGAATTTCAGTATATTCGTACAGCAGCACAGAAGACAGAGTAGTCAAACTCCGCTAAAGGGAGTTTGAGACAACTGAATGTATTCACTTTAGATGCTGGGAGTGGAAAGTTGTATGTTCCTTGAAAAACTCTGAGGTTGAAACTCCAAATGATTGTCAAATGCATGCAAATCCTACATCTCCTCTCTTACATTTCAAGACTCCATGCAGCCTTAACATTAAGCTCCCCCTGCCCTTATTTGAGCCTATTATCCTATCTGACAAAAAGACCTGCATGTTTTTCTGCTCTTTTGGTTGGTCTGTTTGCCAACCAAATTTCTATATATATTTTTTTATTCCTGGCAGAGCTGTCTGCGCTTTTGTCCTTCAGAAATGCAAAAGATCTATAAAATCAGAACTCTGAAATCAGTTGGTTTATGGGAGGATGACTCCCAATGTTTCTCAGGTAGCATAGCCTCTGACTAGGGGATTCTGGCCATGCTGGTGAAGGGGATTCTGGTAGTTATTGTCCAAAAAAAGAGAAACTTAAAAAAAATTGTTCCTAGCCTGATAGAGAGCAGCTTAATCCATCTGATAAATAGAAGGAGATTGGAGTAGAAATTTAGGAGGAGGAGATTGATATGAAGATATTATGTCTTTCTGTTCCTTCCTTATGACTGCACATTGGTCCATGTTTCTTCCTAAAACAATTCAGTATAAATGTAATTGATATCATATATTTACACTGGAGAAACTGGCTGTACCTGTTTGCTTCTAGGGAGTAAATCTTTATGTAAAAAACTTGGATGATGGAATTGATGATGAACGACTGAGGAAGGAATTTTCCCCCTATGGAACCATCACTAGTGCCAAGGTAAGACCTCAAGGTATAGAAAGAACTTGGAAATATTCAAATAACATTCTTATCCCTATTTGTTAAATTTCTTTAACAACATGTTTAACATTTGTATTTTTCTAAACTTTTAATGACAAGAGTATTTTTTTAGCATAATGATTAATATTTCATCCTATTTTGTTATCTTTGGGGCATAACGAATGTCAATACTTTGTGTCTTTTTAATCATTTAATTATTTAAAATAATTGGCTATGTTCATTAAAATTAACATCATTAATTGCTTGCCATTTTCAGTTAAAAGTGTCAACATGTTAATGTTAACAAATCAGATTTGTTTACCAGTTTAATTATAACATATCTTTACTAAATCTAAGGTTTTGAAGCTCTGGTTTTAAAACATTAGAACATATCTGTGCCAGTTGCTGTGGAGGGAAAACCCTTGTTCTTGCTAATAAAATGTGTTTCTGGGCTGTACAGCTTCAGATTCCAAGTGTGAGTTCATGTTCTTGATTTGTCTTCGCATAGACCTTCTGTGTCCCACTCGCTCTAGAAATTGCTGGTTTTTATATTGAAAGAAGTTTTTTAGTATGGAAAAAAGAGTCACATGAAATTGAAGGTTGAACTTGATATTAAAGGAAATGTGTATTTCCTGTGATGAATATGTTTTTCCTTCAGCACCAGGGTTTCCTCAGAGATGCATGCCCCAGCAATCATATTTGCAAAGCAAGCCTGTGCTTACTTTCTAGCGTTCAATCAGAAAACAAAGTACATGTAAATACAAAATTACAGAAGCAAAGAAAATCACTTGCTATAATGGCGGGAGGGAGGGAGCACTGCTTCTAAATATGTGCTAAATATATCACCTAGTTTGACCCTAAAATGATGCTGTCCAGAATTAGCTCTGCCACCTCATGTCCCTTTTTATGAGACCAGGGTGATATCAGGCCACGGTTGCCTCAGGATGATCAGTTATTTACATACTGTTCCCCTTGTGTTATCTTGCTTTAATTCACATGGGAATTCTGGCTGCTAGAATGTCTTCCATCCGACTATTCATTGAAAACTGTAATTGGACAGGGATGTGCAAAATGCACTGGAATGTGGGAGCAAATGTGGTAGCCAATGTAGTTAAGGAGAAACTCTGCAGGTAACTCAATTTCTGTTTGGTCATGGCCGGGGAACCATTTTCAGTTTTAATATTTCCAATTTGTAATATAGCGATACTCCGAACTTTTTTAAAACAATAAAAAAGGCATGTGTTATTGCTTTCTGATGTCAATTGGCTTCTAAGCTATTTTGAGCCTAGTTGGGTTTTCAAGATACATTTGATGTTCCAAGTATGGTTTCCCATTATCACCACCTCATGAGTTTCCATAGCTCAGCAGAGATATGAGCCCATGTCTATTGAGTCCTTGTCTAACGCTCTATCCAGTACACTAAACTATCAAAAAGGCACATAGTGTATAGTACTGTATATACCATATAGCATGTATAATAAATTACACTTCCTTATAATAATGGATTAAAATATCCACCTTTAACTGAGAGCAAGGACCTAAGCCAATGATTCCCAGCTTTGGGTAACCCAGATGTTCTTGGACTGGAGTTCCCAGAAACTCTGGCCAGCACAGCTGGTGATGAAGACTTCTGGGAATTGCAGTCCAAGAACACCTGGATTCCCAAGATTGGAAACCACTGACCTAAGCCATACAGAATACTTGGCAAACCTGGGAACAACGTATCCTGATAGATTACAAATCATAGATTGCTTGTGTTTACCTGTGTGAAACCCATCAGTTAGTTCCTTTGCTTTCCTTCCCCCTTCACTGTGCTTCCACTGTACAGAGAGGCATGCCATGCACTCAGTGGACTTTGTTCTAATTTTCAATTTTAGGTGATGACAGAGGGTGGACACAGCAAAGGTTTTGGGTTTGTATGTTTTTCCTCCCCAGAAGAGGCTACTAAGGCTGTGACTGAAATGAATGGGAGGATTGTCAGCACCAAGCCTTTGTATGTGGCCCTTGCTCAGAGGAAAGAAGAACGAAAAGCTATTCTCACCAACCAATACATGCAGAGGCTGGCTACCATGAGAGCCTTGCCTGGACCACTCCTCTGCTCTTTCCAGCCTCCTGCAGGATATTTTATGCCCTCCATTCCACAGGTGAGAAATATAAAGATGCTGCTGCTGCTACTAAACACATTAAGTAGCACAAGAACCAGTCAAGATACTTTAACTGGAATAAAAAAATTCAGGCTTGTGGAATCTACTTCATGTGGGGGAGATTGTCCCTTCTTTCTTTACTATAATTGTCAGGCAAGTCTATGGTGTATTTATGAGCAGATTGAAGTTGAGCTACTACTGAGTAGGAATATTGATACTGAACAGGGGTAGCTGCTCTGAAAACTTGTAATTACATAAAAATAGAAATTGTGTGCTTATTACTTAAGGAAATCCATTCAGGAAAAGTGCAGAAGAAATCCAAAATATCATATGAGAAATCCCTAAAACTGTCTTCTGTGTGTGCAGTTCTGTTCAGAAACAATATGTGAGTTGGTTTCTCTCTAAGAAGAGGAAGCAGGAAATGGACCTGAGAGACACAGTCAGAAGGAGGAAGGAAGCCCAATTATTATGTAGATTTAAAAGAGACAAGAAAAGAGAACATACTCGGACTGTCTTTCTGTTGCCACCACACTGGTTCAGTTCATTTGCTAAAGCCATTAGACTAAGCCTCCAATTTCAACACAAGGAGCAAACCAAAAAGCAGAATCTTTGCAGACTTCTTTGTTGCTGGAGCAAAAGAACAAGCTTGACTCAGAAGCTCTGATGAGTCTAAGCTTGATCACATGTTCTACTCATACAGCCATTCAATAATAATTTTGATGATCATTTCTTGCTTGGTTCACTGCTTGGCATCCAAGTCAAATCCTCACTTGGCATCTTCCAACTATATAAACCATGGCATGTGTACACCATGGCAGCAAATTATGCTTTGCTTTACAGTAGGAAAGGAGGAAAAGAACAGTTATATGCAAGGCAAGTAAAAAGGACTTATTTTGACTGCTTGTTTACCTAGTGATAAAAACTATGGTTTTGGGAAAAGGTGGAGAACATGATTTCCAAGTGCTGCTTAGCTACACTCCATCAGCTGGACCATTAGCTGTGCTGACATTGACTGGTAGAGGTTAGATCCCATAAACCTCTGGAGGTACATACCTGGTTTAGTGTTATGCCTGAACTATCTTATGCTAGCTCTTCTAATCTTTCTTGGATTGAAAATTAAGCATTTTCACATTGTATTGCTAGGAAAACTGCACAAAACAATCTCACATATCCAAGGTTTCATATCTTCTGTATTTCCAAATGTGACAGAGCTTATATGAGGATAATAATATACTCAGTTAGATGTAAATTTATTATCTTGCATATTTTCTTTTTAGCCACAACCCAGAACAACCTTCTACAGTCCTAGTCCAGTTGCTCCAGTCCGTCCTGCCCCACGTTGGAATGCTCAACCTTCCAGGCCTCCTTGTGAGTTATACACTGTACATAGCATTTTAACAGCATTTGTGTTAATTGGTGATGCCACATGTGATATGAGGCTCTGCCCTCCGATTGGCTGGTTTGGGGACTTAAAAGTATTCCTAAAAACAGTAGTCCCTCTGCAGTTCAGATACTGTGGAGTAGAGGAATGCCTATAGCTCAGAGTACTCAAAGCTCCATGCGCAAAGCCATTCTGGTATGTTATTAGCCAATGCATAACTTAATCTCCTGATGAAAGTATTTAATATCTTTAGTATCCTATCGCACAGCTACGCCAGTCCTGAGGACAAGTGCACCTCCTAGGCGCCTGCTCTCCAACATCAGCACTATGAGACAAGCATCCACTCAAGTTCCCAGGATACCACCCAATGCCCAAAGAGTAGGTAAGTAAGGAAGTGTTGATAGCTTATCACTCAATGGGGAGCGGTTTGTACATGAGTGCATCTTTTAAAGAAAATTGTTTCTGCTTCACTTTTGATAAAAGTATCCACTTGCATAGCTTAATACCAAGATGCAGACAGCAAAGTGACCTGGAAAGCTCCCAAGTCAAATAAGCAATAGGCTCTTACAGAATCCAGTGGTTGGAATCTGTCATGGTTTAGTGTAACTAGGCAATGGAAGCTGGGACAGGTTTAGTGGGGCATGATTAAGTCCTGAATGAGGGGGACAAGGGTAAGGGAAACTACGAAGAAACTGGCAAGGCAAGAAAAATTGCTTGCTTTTTCCAGAATGAAAAAAATATGCCATTAAGGGGTTGGTGTCTGGTTTAGCCCCCTACCACCCCCCAAAAAGTGAATACATCCTTTTCCTTCTGATATATACATGGAAGGGATGTTTAATTTGTGCTGAACATAATGCTATCAAAAAAATAGAGATATTGAGCGAGCTTCACAGACACCTGTGCAGTGCCACCTTCTCTCCACATTCAAAGGAGCCTTTTTGACAGAAGGACTTCTAGAAAGATGTGAACCAAGCTTGGAAAATTTTGGGTTGTGGGCTTTTTTGGACCATGACTTTTTGAGCACCCACTGTTCATATTGGGTGGGGTGTTCAGGAGTTATAGTCTAAAAAACTAACTTTCATTTCTAAAGAATACCTATTGGTTATGCTGGAAGTTATAGCGACCATGACTTTTTGAGCACCCACTGTTCATATTGGGTGGGGTGTTCAGGAGTTATAGTCTAAAAAACTGGAAGTTATAGTCCCAAAAGGTAAATGTTCCTTTTTCTAAAGAAGCTGCTGTGTTGGTCAGTTTTAGTATATTGCCAAAATCAAACAGGAAAAAAAGGAAAATATTGTGGCACCTGAAAAACTAATGGATTTATTTCATTTTTAGCTTTTGTGAGTCAAAGACCCATTCTTCAAACGCCAGGTATTTGAAGAAGTGCAGTTTGAGCCATGAACGTTCACATTGAAGTCTTTAAAACACCACAATGTTTTGTCTTTTTTTCTCCTCTCCCCCCCCCTTTTATTTATTTTTTTCTTATTTCTGGTTGTGCAAAATTAAGGCCAGCCTTCCAAAGTGTTGCTGTTCTTATTCCAGCCAACATAGGAACCCAGACTGTCAGTGCTCGGGCACCCTCATCACCAACTTTTTCACGCGGTGTCTCACAATACAAATACTCTTCAGCAGTGAGGAATGTCCAAGCTCTGAGCACAGTAACACCCATGCCAATGCAGCAGGTAAAACCGATTTCTCACTGTGTCCTTTTAAAAGAATACTGTGGAACACAGGACCCTTGATGGATGGTAGCTTTTTTCTCGCCCCTCTTGAATACAGAGGAATTTTGTGATGGTCCAATCGATATAGCTGATGTATGTTTAGCTTTCATATTTTGGGCAACCACTTCACAACCCCTTAACACTGGCCATGCTGGCTGAGGCTAATGGGAGTTGTAGACCAAAACATCTGGAAGATCAAAGGTTCTCCAACCCAATATAGGCTGGGAACTGTAGCAAAAGTGTCAATGTTTTGAGATGCGATTTACACATTGCATAATTCCCAAGTAGGATACTGGCCTACAGCCATTACTTAATATTTTCTACTGACTTGTTTAATAGTTACTGCACAGATTCTAGAAGTTAAAGGGATTTTGCTGCTTCTCTTTTTTCCCATTGTGAGTGAAAGAGATGAGGGCACCTTTCTTTTAATTGTCACAAAGTGGGCCTACACCAAAGCTGCCACATAAGCCGGGCTTTCCAATCACATAGGAAGAGTAACTGAAATTCAGAGGTGACACTGCATGGCTCTCTGGAGTCCCTTGAAGCATATTGCTGCTTCAGTTGGGAACAACTAGAAAAGAGTTGCTATTATTTGATCTGTTCGTTGGCCATACAGGTTTTAGAACCAGCTGTTCACATCCATGGCCAGGAACCTTTGACTGCCTCTATGTTGGCTGCAGCCCCTCCTCAGGAGCAGAAACAAATGCTTGGTGAGTAGTGATGTGTATATCCCATTAGTTGGCTGCCCTTTTGTGACACCTGTTCAGCTACTGATATCTCCGAATAAGACATCTAATCTAAGAGATGCCTCATTTTAGCTTCAAAAGCCTTGACTTCTTCCAAACATAGAGATTCTGCTCATAATAATGTTTAGAATGCACTTTGTACATGTTCTGATTATGTTCATATTTTTCATAACTTAAATTTGACACTCTCTATGGATTCTGGAGTTTAACCATGCCATAAATTAAATTCTCTCTTTCTTTAAATCTTTCAAGTCAATAAGAGAGTTTACTTGATTTCTTAAGATGGAGAGGGCACATTTTGGGGGCTCAATGGCCATTTTTCTGCTTGGCCAACTCCTCAAGAACTACTGTCTAAAAGAGAGCATGGCCTAGAATGGAAGGGGAACAATTTAGACGTTTCCCCACCCCGCTTTTCAGAAAGTACAATGTGTGTCTTTGTTTCTGTAATTTTTGTCTTATTTTCCGCCCAAACCTCCTGAGATTTCATTAAATATTCAAATATGGAATAATGCTAAATCAGTTTTGAGAACCATTAATTTTAAATTTCTTTACAATGGCAGAAGCAACAGCAAGCCTACTGGCAGTTTAAATAACAACAAAGTATTTCCTGCTTAAATAACAAAGACTTGAATGAAGTTTAAATAGCAAAGGCCAGACTCTCTCTCGCTCTCCCCCCCCTTTTTTTAACATGAAGTCTTAAGATAAATCCTGTGATTCGAAAGTTTTCTTTTTCAGTAATTTTGAAGCCTGGAGGCTTGCAAAGAGCAAGCCTTGGATTTGGACATTTGGTGCCAAGCCAGCTTTCACCTGCAAATGCATTTTTTTTAAAAAAAAACACATACATTTCTGACGTGTACTGAAGTGCAGAAAAAGGCCTTGGAGGGCTGTAATTTGCTTACTCCATCTTAACACCTTGGATGAAACAGCATGCTATTTCTTCCTTGAATGCTGGTTAATTATTATTAATTTCTTCTATGGGTTTTGAGAAAAGAGGAAAGCTGGAGTTCCATTTAGCCTTTCCATTTGAAATTTAATGCCTTTTAGTCACAATGAGCTATCTCTCCTTTTTGCATCCATGCTACACAATGAAATGACCAAGGCCTTCAAAACAAAAACAAACAAAAACGTTAATATTGGAAAAGACTTACTGAGCCTTTCCTTTTGAAATTTAATGCCTTTTAGTCACAATGAGCTATCTCTCCTTTTTGCATCCATGCTACACAATGAAATGACCAAGGCCTTCAAAACAAAAACAAACAAACAAAAACTTTAATATTGGAAAAGACTTAGGTCAGTTTTGTCATGTCTGTGGCTTATGCAGAACTGCAAACAAAATAGAAAGAAAGGGGAGAGCCATGTTCTGTTGGGTTTCATGTAGTACCAGTTATATCAAACCAGGGAGGGAAAACCAGGAATAGTTATACTGTACAACTTTAAAATTAATTAACAGAATGTCATTATTGCAGATGGTATTCAAAGCTGAAGATAATTTTTGAAGACAAGCTTAAGAAGACATTGACTGCTTTAATTATTTCTTCTGTGTCTCAGTACAGATGCCACACTCAATAATAAGTAATACAACAGCATGTTTAGCTCTGCGCCTCTTTCAGCCTGACATCCACTGTGAGCAAGTCAGCTCATACAGTCCTAAAGTTGGCCTTTAGTCCAGCACTATATTAAGAGATGTGTGGAAACTGTCTTGATTCCATTTTCAACAAATTACAAAAAAATTGGAATATCTTGGCAGAGACGTCTCTGGGCATGTACAGAGTTCCAGTTCGTAACCTCCCCATGAGGCTGGTCCTTAAGAAGCTTAGAAGCTCTGATGGGAAGGTAGCCTTGTTAGGTGCTAATTTTAGCAGTCCTCAATATAGGGAGGAAATATTCTGAATGTTCACTTCGCTCAGGATTCTAATAAGCAGTGGGTTGCATCAGCCAAAATCTTTCTCCCTGGCAACCACCCTGGGCTTGGAAACAGGGCTTTCCTGGCCTCATCAGGTTTCATGAAGTGGCAGATGCTTCCTGCTGACCAAGCAGCTGATGTCTTCCATAGGAACTGATGAAGCTGAACTGCATGCAACTTGCTTTGAGCTAAAAGTTGGTTAGATTGCACACAGCTCTTCTTGTGTTGTCAACTTGCCTGCCTTGGATATTTGGTAGTCTCCCCCATCGTCCCCACCCCCAGCTCAAGAAAAATGCTGTTGCCTTTGTAGGGGGACCTTCCCCTATCAACACATTTGGCAACACAGTGCAGGCAGGATCCCTAATCTGGAATCTATTCTGTTTATACGGAATTGTTAAAGAGAGGTAAAAGATGAGGGATAGCTGCCGCCACCCCTCAAGAATTCCTGAAAGGAAAGCAAATCTACTCCATGGGCAAAGAATTGCTGCTCTGTGTCTGGATACCACTCATGGCCTTTTCTCTTCTTCAGTTCTATTTCCTGCAAGTGATTATGCTTTTTTAAAAATTCCCCTTTTTGCCAAGGAAAATCTTTTTCCCCCTGACCTAATTGATGAATGTAGGGAGGGAAGAGTTTGTGACTCTGAGATTGAGTGAGCAGTAATCTTGTCTGCTGTTTGCATTGGTTCCCATCAGTAGTAAGTGGCCCTTGGAAGGCTCTCCATGAGAAAATATGGGCTTCAGGCCAAAACAGCTTTTTTATGCTTTATTGACACATGCTGGCCATACAGTATGAATTAAGAGTACTGAAATGCTGTGGTAGAGGCAGAGAAGCCATATTGGCATATGTTGGGATTTATTAATGTATGTATCCCTGATTTAAATCCCAGTTTTGTTTTGGCTAATTTATTAGGAGGCTTTTGAAGTACATAATTATTGATTAATTTTTGCTTTTCCATTTGTGAAATTGGACTGATTGGTTTGCATTGCAAGACAATTATAAGATAATCAGGAGATTGTTTAAGAACATGGCATATTAACAGTACTGTATAAATGATGGGGCTATTACTCAGTGGACATAGGCGTGGATATGTGAATGCTGAACCACGCCTGTGTAGGATGAGTATAGACTCAGGTTAACAATCTGGAAAGAAGTGTATCTAGACCAGTTAGTGCCGGTTAGATTTTTATTTGAAAATTCTATGGTGCAGTCAAAATGTTATTAAATAGCCTGCCAAATTATTTTAATACTTGAATTTATTTATTTATTTAGTTGGTTAGTAGTTTGTATACTGCTCCCCATTAGTGCTGAAGCACTACTTTGGGCAGTTTACAATAATAAACCAAACCAAACCAAAATAAAAACTGAAACTATTTAAAACTAGAGAACTCGACTTTGTCAGACTACAAAAGTTCCATGGAAGCTCATGTTAAAATGTAATGGTTTGTCTTTAAGGCATCATGACATTTTTGTTATCTTCTCTTTTTGTTTGTTTGTTTTTGCTTGACTTTCCAGCACTAGCTGTCTGGCACAGAGGGTCCAGGCCACTTGCTGGTGAGCCTTGGTAGATGCCCAACAGGGCTGGGTGCTGATTTTTGGTCCTGAAAAGGAGAGTAGTCTTTTTGGTAGGCAGCACTTTGTTAAAATGTATCTTGTCCTGCTCTGTTGTATGCAGGTGAACGACTTTACCCGTTAATTCATGCAATGCACCCCTCCCTTGCTGGGAAGATCACAGGCATGCTTCTGGAGATAGATAACTCTGAGTTATTGCTTATGCTGGAGTCACCGGAATCCCTGCATTCTAAGGTACGGGACTGCCATGCTTAAACTCCACCTAAACCTGCCATCACAAATCTTACATTCTGCATCTTAAAACAAGCTGCACTGATTATCCATTTGTTTAATCCACACACTTTTTTCCATCTCCAGTTATAGTTGCCACAGTTGCCTTCCAGTCATTCAATTTTTCTCAGCTAAATTTAATTTTTTATCTACATTCTGTGTGTATGTATCCTGCATGCAGTGCAGTACTAAATGATCCCCTTGTTTTGGTGGTGTTAGATAGAAGAAGCAGTTGCTGTACTGCAAGTACACCAGATGTCGGAAGTATCACATAAGAGTAACTCAGCAGCATTCCTTCAATGACGAAGGTGAGTGTGGAAAAGCTGGATGGACACAATGTGGTGGTGATGTGTGGGTTAAAAATAGAATATCTCTTAGTCTGATTACAGTGAAGCCTTCAACTGATTGTGGAGGTGTCAGTGCTAGAAACATAGTGTACGCCCAACCTTAAGTAAAGCCATAGCTGATGACACCTGTTGGTGTGACCTCTGCCATGGTGTGTATCTGCAGCCCCACAAAGAAGTTGTCTTTCTACTTCATGCCCAATGGTGGAGGTGGGTAGCCCTATAATTGCCCTTTGACTAATTACCCCCCATTTCAGATTGAATTGACTGGAGACATATGGCCTGGCAAAGGGAGTCTCCCATGTACTATAGGTGTTAAACACAACACATTCACATTAATTAAATTACTACATATGCTTAAAAAATCTACATAGATCCCTTTAGTATGAATTAATTTCAGGTCTCTAGATTTCATGGTCTTACTGGCTCTGACAAACATAGTCAGGCATTGCCTTTTGTTATTATATAGATCCATGTAAATATCATGGCTCTGCAGAGAAAAGCTATGAAAGGTCTATAAGCAACTGGCTTGCAGTCTAAAATACATATAGGAAAACAAGAGAGGAAGATGGAAATGTACGATGGATAATAAGGGAAGTAACAAGTTGTTATTTTGATTATGTATACTTTAGCTGCATTTAAGGGACAAGGGCTAAGAGGACGATCTTCCTCGAAAAGATAGGTTTTGAGTACTGTATGTGCTCAAAGGAAATAAAGGAGAACATCACACTTCCATAAGGAAACAATTCCATAAAGGGCACTAGTAGAGGAATTTTATTCATCTCTTTGGCCCACAATGCACCGCCAATATGTCGACCAGATATAAACTGCTTGGATTATACCTCAAGTGATTTCTATTTGAAATCAAGACTACCACATTAAATTTAATTTCTTTATTAAGGTCGGAATGGATGTTCTAGAGCAGGAGTTGCCTACCTTGAGTAATCCAGGTGTTCATAGGTGTTCTTAGACTGAAACCCCCAGAAGCACCGGCAGCACAGATGGTGGCAAAGGTTTCTGGGAACAGCAGTCCAAGAACACCTGGATTAGTCAAGATTGGGAACCATTGCTATAGAGCAGCAATGGTGAACCTATGGCATGCAGAGCCCTCTCTGTGGCACGCAAGCCCTAAGTCACCGGATCGCTACCCTAGACAACCAAACCTGAGGAGGTGGCTGCAGCTACGGTGCTAGCACCCCGACAGGCAGCGGGCCAGGATCCAGAGCAGCTGGCGCTGGCAGGGGTTGGGCACGATTGGAGGCAGATCTGAAGTGGGGTCTGGAGGCACCTCCATTCCCCGGATTCCCCCTTCCACTGCCG